CCGCGCTATGAGAAAATGTTTGGTCAGCGGTCCAGTCTTGCTTGAAAATTTTCCCGCCAAAATATTCGCATGCGCGAAACTTCTTCCCTTCGATTTCCAACATGGCTGCTGCAGCGGAGGAAAGGAACCGCTCACTGAAACAGGCACTCATAGAGAGTTTAACAGCCATTCTGTCACCAGATCAACAAGCTAGACAACAGGCGGAAGAACAGCTCAAGGTTCTCGAGGTCACAGAGGGTAAGATTATTTCTCTGCTTTGAATTATTTATAGATCCTGTGCACAGTTCTTAGCCTAAAACGTGACATACTAAAACTTCGAAAATGTACATTTCATGAAAGTGACACTGTTATCTTTATGACGGTAGTTTCTGTCAGTACAGTATTTTAGATCAGCTCCGTTTGATTTACAAGCGAAACGTTTGGCTGGTTGCACTTTAAAAGCTAATGTTTATTGAATAATGTTTTGTAGTGCATGGTTAGAACTTCATCGATGAAGCTTTTTAAAGATAAGCTTACCTTGCATGCGTGAAATTCAAAGGAAAGAAATCAAATTCATAACAAGTCCTGTTTTTTTTCTTTTTGAGTAGCCAGTCTTAATGGCATAACTTAGCTTATTGGCGAATTTTTTATCCTAATTTCAGACTCATTCATAACTTTACCTGATCTGTCAAAGACTTATTTTAGCTTACGCAAGACACTCAAATAAGCTTTTCTATAGAGCCTCAAGCATTATTTCCATCAAATGCACAATCTCTGACAATCCCAACCCTAAATATCGATATCTTAAATCTTGGTTTGGAGAATTTGAGCCAAATCGGATAATATTCCCTTACTAGTTGGTGGCTACCTTTGTTTTCATCCTGGTGCATCTGTCTATTGATGACAAACATAGATCATGACGCATACTATGAGCTTACAGATTAAGTCAGGAGTGGCAAATGGTCCTTTAAAAACCATGGGTCTTGCAAAATTCCCGTCAGATTTCATAGGTCTTGCAGTTGGGTTTTCTTGATTTTTTGTAAGGCTAGGAAAGTTTCAAAATACCGATTGATGTCTACACGTCTTAGAATCTGAATGTCTTGAGCTCATATTTAAAACACTTCAAAGTCTCGGTCTCGCAAATGAAGAAACTGAAATGTCTTGGGCTGGCAATGAAAATCGCTTTCTCACAAAGTTTCACATTTACTATTCACCACCTTTTAAGTTGATGGATAAGTTGTTGGAGGGTGTGGCCGAGGAGGAGGGACATGGGACAGTGTGAAAATATTTTGCTTGAGGTCAGGACATATGGACCATATGCAGTGAGATCTTTCTGTCCTGAGGTTTCCATATGGCCTGACCAAGCTCAGTCGATAATCATTTTGTCATATCAGCTTTGCTACACTTGATGTGATAAGAATTTGGAAAATTTCATGAGAAATGACCTAAACTGCTCATGCTATCATTGTAAGTTGTGTTTGGAGTTATATGGCATTTTTGAATTTCAGACCAGCTCAGGTCAACCTGTTTGGCATAGCACGTGTCTTTTTGCATTATGTTTTTCTTTAGGACTGCATTAGCGGCAGAATGAAGTTGTTTTTTAATGTGCAATAACTTAAGCACATCCATAATGCAAGTGGTGTCCAACAAATATTCAAACTGGATTTGGGAATTTAGTTAAAGCCATAATTAACTTTGTTACTTGCAGAGTTTGGTGTCCACTTAGCAGAACTCACACTTGACAGAGAGGGTGCTTTAGCCATCAGACAGGTCAGAATCACAATTCTCCATGCTGTTTGTAATACATTTTGTATATCTTCTGTGGGAGAATTTAGCTATGGTTCACTATTTTCTTGAGATGATCAGGCCATTTTTAACTGATTAGAGGAGAAAATGCCCAAGCATTTTTCTTTTGTTATTAAAGCATGAGGAAGTACTGATAACACTCAAAAGGCATGACTGCTGTTGCACTTCCTGCACTATGTGAAATCCCATTGGGGAGAATTGTGATAAGCAACATGATATTCTAACAGTGATACAACATAAATGAAATGGCGATGTCCATAACACTTCGGGGCTTAAAGTTTATCCCAGCCTCAAAGTTAGGATATGTAAGTATGGTCAGGTTAGGAAACATGCACCTTACTGTCATTTGGCTTTTAAGACACACGGGTGCCATCAAACATGATTTTTAGGCGCATGACCAAAGGTCTAGTCGCATATGTGACCAGTTGGTTGTTAACTTTGAGCCCTGCTCTTGTGTTGAAATTACCACCGCAAAGGAGAGAAATAAGAAAACCAACATGAAGCAGTTGTGTTTAAAAGTGAGCTGGGTATGCATGAATCCCTTGCTTTATCAAGGTGACAGTATGACAGCATCCCTGGGCTGTATTAAATGAAGCAAACTCTCAAAAGCATGCACAGCATGTTGTAGGGTCTGACTGATTTAACAGGTATAAAACTCCCTCAACCAAGAGGTATTTTTGTTGTTGACTGATCACATTAAAATATATCGGTAATCAGTCTGACTCTTCTATTTGGATTTTTTATCTTAGCTGACACGAAGTTAATGGCTGACAAAAAATCCTCAATCAATAAAGAATTTCTCGCACATTTGGTACCTTGACTAATCACACTATCTTAAGATCTTGATGGGTCAGAAGTGTTTTTACTGGTGGTCAGCTGTTTAAAATGCCCATCGTAATTTTTTTTGACAAATTCTAATTGTTGACATTAAAATATAATCAGTCAACAACACTTGTTACTTTATCCTGCTTGCCAGTATTGTCACAAAGGATACAAAATCATCCTTATTCGCTGTTGCCGATTTACAGGTTTAAACGAAAGGCAAGAAAAGCAGCAAATTTTGGAAAGTACTAACATTTAAATTACCACTTTACTGATGTATATGTTAGGAGGTGTTACAACATTTGTGACTTGATGTAACATAGTATACATTCAAGCAAATAAGACAGAGGCCCATCTGCCCTCCCAGCTGTGCTGAGTGGAGATGCAAATTCACCTTTTTAGAATTGATGATGGGCATTTTAAACAGCTGTCCACCTGTAAAAACACTTATGGCCCATCAAGATCTTAAGATCTTGTGATTAGTCAAGCTACCAAATGTGCGAGAAATTCTTTATTGATTGAGGATTTTTTGTCAGCCACGAACTTTGTGTCAGCTAAGAAAAAAAACCAAACAGAAGAGTTTTCACTGCTTTGTTAAAAAACCAAGGAAACTCCTGCTTTGTGTACATAGTTTAATTACATCTTGGATCAGCTAGAACTGCTGTGTGAACTGCTTCCAAAACCCATGCTGTCTGTATTCTAGTTAGGCTGCTCATTTCCAGTTGGTCAAGAAAGAAAACCGGTTTTAACTGCATTATTTTAATTAAATAGATGAATCAATGTATGAGAAACTCCTGCTTTGTGTACAAAAGTTAGTCTTGTCATTTTTCAGTTTTAGTCAGTTAGAAACGTATATTAAACAGATTGCATTTCCACAGTTGTTGTGTTAAATCAATTGCCAGTCAGTGCCTGAAGAATTCTTGCTTTGTGTACTTGAGTGGGCCAGGTCATTATTTTATAATTGTTCAACAAATGCAGACAGTTTTTAGCTCATGCTTTGTGTCCTTATAGTACTGCAGTAACTTACACCATTTTTTTTAATGTGGTTGAGAATTTATTCATTGTTTGAGAAATATTCATCAGTCAAGAAATTCTTATCAGATGACAACTATTTGTCAGGGGTGAAATTTTCATCAGTTGAGCTGACACTTAATAAACCTGCCTGATTAAAAATTAATGTCTCATGATGCCTGCTTTTTGTACCTGACGTCCTTTGGGGAAATGACTTGTTGACCACTCCAAATTCTGACAAGCTTTAAAATTTAGATAGGAGTGATGCATTAATTTTGGAAATGCCTTTGTTGCCACCATGGTTAGAACAACTGCAGCAAAATGACTTGCTGAACCTCCATGGAGAAGTGCTGTATTTTAAAGCTGCTAATTCCTTTGAAGTGGAATTTTATGCTGGTTCTAAGGATGCCCCCTTACAAAATGTTAAACTGATAATTTAATTGTTTTGTCTTGAATTGTTTCTTTTCAATTTAATTGTTTTGATTTGACTCTTTTCAGCTTGCATCAGTAATTCTTAAACAGTATGTGGAAGCCCATTGGACTTGTAATGCTGAGAAATTTAGACCTCCAGAAACTACAGATGCAGTAAGTGCATTAAGTATAAGTTAGGGAACATGCGTAACATTTTTTGATGGCATGAAAAAAAACTCTGTTATATACATGTAAGGAATGAGGTAATGTCATGGAATTTGCATGGAAGGTACAGTGGCCCAATAGGAAGTGTGATGGACTGTTTATTTAGCAGGTCATGCACCGGTTGGAGACATTGTGTTATGTCCTTGGATCATTTAACATTTTTTCATTTAAATTTTGCTGTATTCAGGCTAAGGCAGAGATCCGACGTCTTTTACCAGGTGGCCTGCAAGAGTCCATAAGTAAAGTCAGATCAAGTGTGGTAAGTTTTGTTTATAAGCAACCTTGTTCAACTTGCACTCACAAGGAAGTCATGATTGGGAGAAATAATTCACAACTAAAGGCAGAAATACTTGTAGGGCTTACTGGAACTAGAGCAAGGTTTTAATCACAGAATTGAATGTTTATTTATACTGTGGCACAAGCACATGGTCGACTGGGTTAGCTCATGTGATGAGCTCATGTGATGTGCTCATGTGATGCAAGATCAGAAATGCATGTAAATAACATGTGATGTCATAGTAACCAGGGCTGTCATTAAGTTTTGAGTCACCTGCAGGCAGCCTTGTTCTCCAACAACAAGAGGAAATTTCACCTCTAGCATCAAGGGAAAATCAAGCATATTCAGCCTTAACAGGTGCCATGGGTTATGGGCCCTAATGACAGTCCTGGAAACCACAGTAATCTTGGACGTAAACTGTTACCAAATCATTGGCAGTCGCCCAAAAAACTTGGCAGAAATGCGAAAGATTTGTGGTAGTGGTCAGAAACAAGTTCAGCCATGCCAAGGTGTTTGAAATCACCAAGAAACTTAGAGATTTGTGGAATTATTTTGGGCCTAGAAATATTTCAATGGGAAATCAGAAGTTAGCATTTAATCTGAAAAGCTGGAGATAACACTTCAAACTACTATTATTCATTATCAGGCATATGCCATCTCCGCAATCGCCCACTGGGACTGGCCTGAAGCGTGGCCAGATTTGTTTGGACATCTGATGCAGGCATTGACAAGTGGTGATGGTAACCTGGTTCATGGAGCAATGAGAGTTTTAACAGGTATTAAGTCAACCTTCCAGTATTTAGACACTATTGAAGTATTGTTTTTGTTATGCTTTGTTAGCATGGCACAGATAATATCTGGACTCAAGGTTCCTGTGGACAGAATAAAAAGAAATGTGAAAATGGTACTCTTGTGAGTTGTGGCTAAAAATTGGCAGAGTCAAGTGATTGATTGATTGATTGATTGATTGATTGATTGATTGATTGATTGATTGATTGATTGATTGATTGATTGATTGATTATTAATTATTACAGATTCACTCCACTAAATTAGAAACAGATAATAAATTAAATTTGAATTACTCGCTACTGTAAAGAAACATTCTGGAGAAGGAGACAACCCAAAGTGCTGTTACACGAGGGTGCCCTCTCTAATTAAAGTATGAGAAAAATATATACAAGTGTAAAAATAGAGGTTCTAGTTATTCTAAATAAAGCTTTGTGGAAAGCTTACACTTAATATGCATTCTGTTGTTGAACGAAAATCAAGTCTTTGCTTGTAACTTGATTTTACCTTTTCTCAGAGTTCTGCCGTGAGGTGACAGACATCCAGATACCACATGTTGCTCCAGTGATTCTTCCTGAAATGTACAAGATATTCATTCATGCAGAGGTACAGTACATTCATGGATATTATGTGATGTCTCTATGCATAATGATGGAAAAAGAAACTGACAGATGGTCAATAGTTGATATAGTGCATATGTTAGTCTTTTCAGATAGATGTTGTTGTCCAATGTCTTTATAGGTGTACAGCATCAGAACAAGATCACGTGCTGCTGACATTTTTAACACTTGTGCTTCGTTGATCTGTGCAATGGAAGATGACAATTTGGTAAGAATAAACTCAGCTTTATGCATGGTGCATCATCTAGCATATGATGGAGAGGGTGTAAGTATGGCAACCAAAGGTGAAGGTCTGAGGCCAACTCTGCTCCAGAACCTCTAGCAGCATCTCATCTAGGGAGAGAGGGTGAGGCAGTATTCCCCTCGACCTCTCCTTCTCATTCCAGTCATGCTAAACCTTGATGTTTTGTCACTGCTCAGTTGTGCTGATTTTGTTTCAAACAAAGACACATAAAGTCAGCATATGAGCAAGGTGGCCCATCAGCTGGAGCTTATCTCCAGTTTCAGTAGCATAAAGCAACTAGGAGTATTTCTACTCCCCCCAGATGGGATGCTACTCCATCACAGGGTTACCCCCGGCATAAAATTTGCCAGTGCCCATTAATACAACCGCGTGGAGAGAGGCACTGGGAGAGTAAAGTGTCTTGCCCAAGACAGGGCTTGTAAAAAGTGTTATCCCATTGTTCTGGACAAGTAGATTTTCCTTCTGGGCCAGTAACTTTTCATTCTCACTTGCCCAATGGGTAAGGGATGAGGAGGGCAAGGGATTAGACAAATCATCTGCCAACTACATCACTAAAAGAGCAAACTAAGACTTGCCTAGGGCAAGCAAAATTTGAGAGCTACTTGTCCCAAGGGCAAGCTCAAACTCAATTTTTTTTAGCCCTGCAAGAACAGCACACAGTGTCCCTTGCAAGGGCTTGAACCAGACCCAGAGTTGAGGATACTAACAATCAGGCCACCGCGCCTCCATCTACATGTACACATGGTAGATCCTGAGATACTGCATGTGAGGGAAGCACAAAGAAAGGAGAAATCAAAAGTAAAGTGTTGTTTAATATCTTCGCAGCTAACTTCACTTTCTTGAATTTCAGAGCATAGCCAGGGAAATCCTGTTTCCATTGATGCCACAATTCACTCAAGCATTTGTTCAGGTCCTTGCTTTGGCAGACAGTCCCACAGTTGATTGTGGCTTGAAGATGGAAGTGCTCAAGGTAAGTTTCCTGTAGTGATCAGTCTTTCACCTTAAATCCCAGTCACTCTGTTTTTTTATTATTATCTTCTTGATTAACCTTGTTAGGCACTGACCACACTAGTAAAGAATTTTCCCAAGCAAATGGCACCTCATCTGATGCAGATTCTGCCGCACATGTGGAACACATTGACACAGAGTGCTGATCGCTATGTTCGCACAGTTGTTAATTACACTGATGATGCTGATGATCCAGTTGATTCTGATGGTGAGATTGTTTGTACATACTGTATGCTTTAGTTTGAATATTAGCCAATTTTTGTTTAGCTTTAAGATTTTGCATGCAAGTAACAAAGGCTTTATGACTGTGATGCGACTTTTATCCCATGATGCCCAGGGAGTAATGGGCTGGAAATTCTTCAAAGCCATGCCACTCAGTCATGTGCAACCTGCTTCACGAGGTAAAACCCAAGGCTGTACTTTCTCTCTCTGTGGTTCTGCACCAGGTCTCTCTGGGTCTACCATGCCTCTTTCCTTCAGGGGGACAAGTTAATGCCGTCTTGGGATATTGGTTGTTATATATTCTGAGGATGTGGCCAATGAATTTTCTAGTGCCACTGGTGGATTTGCTCACTGACATAGCTGATGTTGGCCTGGTTATGGATCACAAAGGCTCTATAGAGCAACAATATTTAATCAGTATAATTTTTTTTAGGTCAATGCCCTGTCTGTTGACCAGAGGAGGCAGATCTGCATGTTCATGGTGGCTAAATAATTTTTTGCTTTTTCACTTTTTGTATTTCAGGAGAAGTCCTAGGATTTGAAAATCTTGTCTTTAGTGTGTTTGAGTTCATTCATGGACTGATAGAAACACCAAAATTCAAGAAAACTGTCAAGAAGTTTTTAGATGACCTTATTTATTTCTTGGTGCTGTACATGCAGATCACAGAGGAACAGGTTAGTCTTATATTACATGTTCTTTCTCTGAGAAGCTGTTGCAAACCATTATAAATTAGCCAGTTCAAACCTCACATCGGTTAATGCCATTTGAACTTATACTGTAAGTCTGTGGATAAAAACTTTGACTGTGACCATTTAAATGAAAGCTTTGGAGCGGTAGTTTTATCTGTTTCTCAATATTTTGCAAGAAATGATTTAGAATTTGCTTGGAATAATTTTAAGTTATGCTCTAGATACAAAACATCTTTTCTAGTTTTCCCATGAGTAGTAAAATATTTTGTGTTGTTCGATTCCTGATTAGGTGCAAGTGTGGACATCCAATCCAAACCAGTTTGTTGAAGATGAGGATGATGACACTTTTTCCTTTTCTGTTCGTATTGCTGCTCAAGATGTACTCTTGGTAAGTACAGAGAATTTTCAGTTTTAATCATGTTGAGTTAAAGACTATTCCAGTCCTAGCACCAGAAAGGCCTAACCAAACAAATTATTTATGCTGGCACTAAACTGTGGCTTCTGTAACTTAAAGCAACCAGGAAAATTGCTAACCCTTCCTTCGCTGCACCATCCTTGCATGAGATGCTGGTGAATTCACCAGTACCTGTTTGTGAAGACAGGTACTGAAATTAAGTATGTCCCCAGAGGACACACCTCAAGGATCACAGCTGGCTTAATCTTGAAGGTCATGATGCCTCCTGGGGGCACCAGGCAAATTGGCCGGGTGAGAGAACGATTTTGTCCACCTGGTTTGACCATCGAGAGGAAAGCTTTTCTTATATTAGATGTAGAGGTCAAATAGTTTTGCCCGCCTGTGAAAACCAGTTGCCCTCCTGCCGAAAACTTTAATGAAACCCCTGCCTCCCATGTAACCATGCACAGTTCATTATTGTAAAGTTCACATCAACAATGACATCCTCTATTTATACATGATCCATGATATGGGTAAAGCAAAATCGTGTAACTTGTAACTAACACAAACTGATACAAAACATGAAAATAGTAATAACTTTTTTTACTGTAATTTTGTTCACATAAAAACTGCATACATCAATAAAATTTAAAGTTCGTTATGTTCCTTTTTACCACACATTCCTACATGGAAGTTGTTTGTTGTCTCCTTCATGTGGATGGCTGAGAGTACTGTATGTCCAGTCCTTCCCGAAAACTCTCCTGAAGCATTTGGAGGGTTATGAGAGGAGGCTGTTACCTTTATCTTTGGCCAGCCCACTGAAATTTCATCGTTACTTTGCTTTCCAGGCAGTTGCTGCTGACTTCAAAAATGAAAGTGCAGGTTCATTAACAAATGCAGTCAACAGACATTTACAAGAAGCAAATGATAGAAAAAGTAAAGGAGATGATAACTGGTAGGTATGTTTGGGAGTTATCACCTGTAATAAATCTTTCAGTGGCATGCCAAAGACTCATGACGATTATGATAATGATGATGATAATGGCAAGGATGGCGACGACAATCATGGTAACAATATATAACCAAGGTGATTACAGTGATGATGATGTTGATGATCATCGTGTTGGTGATGGCAATGATGACGGTGATGATTATAATGTTGGCGGTGAAGATGATGATATACAGTTAAGGGACTGGGTGTTTAAATTTTTATTCTTTTCAGGTGGAAAATACATGAATCATGTATGTTAGCAATGGGATGCATTAAGTCACTCATCATTGACAAAGTATCAAATGGCAAAGTATCTATGGCAGATATGACATCATTCCTGACACAAGTTGTGTTAGCAGATCTACAGGAGTCAGGTAATAACTTTTATGCAATAAGATATTAATGGATATCATTCAGCACTCTTCTTTGTGGTTTGTGGCACGTAAGGCCATAGGAGATGGCACACAGAAATGCATTTTTTCCACTCAGGGGTGTAGATGGGTACAGTTGTACCTGCAAATAGTTGAAGCAGCCTGACAAAAAATGGTAGACTGGGGATAGCCCTGGAGTTTCATAGGGAACAAATCCAAAAATACATCACTTCCAGTTTTCATCGCCTCAAAGTTTATTAAGAGAATTTGAAGCAAAAATGAGCGAGACATTTGTAAGAAATTGTTTTAAAAATGCAGTGGTAAACCAAATTACCCGCTGATAAACTACGTGGATGAAAATTAATAAATTCTCTGTGCATATTCAGAATACAGATCTTTACTTTTGACCTAATGTAGAGGATTGAAAAAATTTAAGAAGTGTGTAAGTGGCAGTTTTTGTGGGAATTGCTTACCCACTGCATTTTACCTCTGTGGAGCCTTCAATGGGCTGGTAATATCCTTGTTTGTGAACTAAAGCATTCCTTGCTGGTTCACAATAAGGAAACCAATGTAAAACATCAGCACTGACCAGCCATGTGGACCTAAAATTTCCTTGTGTAACCTTTCTTGAAACATATGTTAAATTCATAATTGAGGAAAGTGGTTATTTTTTTGCTCTTTCAGTATCACCTTTTCTTATTGGTCAAGCACTGTGGGTGGCTAGTCGTTTTACTCCGCTTATGTCTCAAGAGCTTTTAACAAGGTAAGACAAGGGACGAGCTGTGGGAAAATAACTTCGTTCTGTTGTCAGAGGGGTTGCCAAGCAACTTGACATATTGTCTTGATTTACAATGCCTTCTCGTTCACTCAGTTTTAACATCCCGTAAGGTTTACTGGGCAGCTGAACCTTAAAATACGTGCTATATTCACTGTACATGTAGCTATAACAGGCTATTATAATTGATAGCTACCAGGACGATTTTCGACCTGTAATTCAAATTAGTCATGTGGTCTGCCAATGACAGTTAATGCAAAGGAAGCAACTCTTAGAAAATCAAGACCACATGTCGATAGTCAGTGTCCTTGCACTGATACAACATAATTTTTATTTGATTCACATATGAACCTGGTAAATGGCCCAGTTCACCATTTCTCGTGGCACTTTCTCAACCAATCAGAAAACCCAAACCATTTGCGACTCGCTCACATGTATGTTTTCCCGCGCTTACCGCCAGCTACGCATATCTGCGTAGAGTTTTGATTGATTCTCTGGATTGTCTGCGTCCTATGTGCCTGTTTAGTTTTTCGACAGTCAATCGAAAGTTGCTCTAGCACTAAACTGTAATGTTTTCTCGTAATTCTTAGATTTATCGAGGCATCAGTGACTGGTCTTCAATCAACGCAGCTTGCTGCTGTAAGAATATCAGCTGTCAGAGCTGTTTACGAGTAAGTAGAGTGACAACAAATGTCACTTTTATTGACTTTTTGCATGATTTTCAGAAGCTTTATAAATACTCCTTTAGATCACAGGAATCCAAAAAACAGTGATGTTGTTTTTGTCCAACACTAATCGACAAATGATTAAAACCCAAGTTAGGAACTGAGGGTGGCTAACAGTGGTGGAGAATCAGATTGATATAATTACGCATTGGACTAACTTGGAAATGTAGCGTTTGTCAAGGTGTTACAAATTACATTGAAGTTTACAAAAATCTTGTTTTCTCGTGAAATCTCTCTCTTTTCCTTGTTTCCATAAAGACAGCACCAAACACTGAACGTTTATATTCAACCTCGGCTTTATTTCTTAGTTATGTGACAAGAATAACGGTAGGCTAGAGAAGAGAACTAGAGAATATCGTGTCGTTCAAGACTAAAGCCCCGTTCACATTATGCTGGGGGAATTTGAAAACGCAGCTTTATTTCTACGGTTAGGTCTAACGTCCACACTAATCCTTCACGAACACGGAGCTTTTTGAAAACGCTCTTCAAACCGGAGGAATTTGAAAACGCCGGCTTTGTGTTTTAGTGTGGACGGAAAATATTTGAAAACGGAACTTTTCGAAAACGATGACATCGCGTTAGTAATGTGATTTCCCTACTACAAATCTAATATGACCGGTTTTTGATGCGTTTTCAAATTCCTCCGGCGTAGTGTGGACAAGGCTAAGCATACGTCTTTTTTCCCGCGCTCCAGAGGTATTCTCTNATTTCCCTACTACAAATCTAATATGACCGGTTTTTGATGCGTTTTCAAATTCCTCCGGCGTAGTGTGGACAAGGCTAAGCATACGTCTTTTTTCCCGCGCTCCAGAGGTATTCTCTGATTGGTTCGTGCTCAATTTTGAATTTTTGCGGGCAAGAACCAACCAATCAGGGAACTTCACGAATCTTTTTTGAGCTACGTCATAGTATGGAGCTTCTCAGGTCGAATTCCAGTCGTTTCTCAAGCGAGGGAAGAATTGAGAATTTATACCTAATCCAACCTTAAAGGAAATACGTTATTAGAACGGATATTTGTTAATTCGAGCTATTACTTGACAAGGGTTTCATAGGAAAGAGTTGGGATAATTATATGTTCTATTTGAATGACTCATTGCAGATTTTGTGCTCATCTAAAGATGTCGAACAACACTCAAATCCTGGCTCCATTCCTTCCAAAGATCATGGATGGTTTACTTACCATGGCAACGCAATCAACAGATGATGTACTGGCGCTGGTCTTAGAGTCTCTTAGGATTGTTATGTCGGTAAGATGACTGCTGCTCCAACCTCGCTCCCAGGCCTTTTCCCTTAGAAATTCTGAGGCGCTTGAAAAGCCCTGGGAACGAGGTCGCTGCTGCTCGTGATGGGCTCCTGTTGTTACTGATCCTCATAAGCCGTCGAGGAAATGCAGAGGGCGTGAACAGTGGCTGTGGAAAATGTGGCTCGAGACTTCACAACTTCCCACAATCTCCATTCTCCCCANCCCCCCCAACTCTACTTCCCCCAATCTTTCCTCGCCCGTTTGTTTTTCTTTTCTTTTCTCCCGTCAACTTTCCACTGCACGAATATTCTGATCTGATTTACACGTCCTCTTTCGATCAGGTCTAATGGTTATTATATTCTCGTCAATCAGTCCCTATGGTTTATTTCCAGGTCAATAAAGAATTTACAACGTCTTGCGAAGGAAGAATATCACCGCTGACAATAGCGCTCTTTATCAAATATGCTCACGGTAAGAAAATAATGATAATTAACTAGCTTGTTTGTTGATTAATACATTCGTGAATACGTGCAACTAGAAACCTGGTGTAGACAGCTATGAATTTGGCGACGGAGATGGTAACAGAATCTAGAAGCCGTCAAATTCTAGTTGGGTTGGAAAACGGTCACGTTTGGTGGACACTCTTGTTCTGTTAGTGTAAAAAAGATTTTCGGTTGAACCGAACAGAAAACGTTTCCAGCAGCTTTAAGGAGCAACACAATGATATAAAAATTGTTTCTGTTTTGCGGTCTGTGAAGTAATCATAAATCTCCTTTAAAGTAAAAGTTTGGCAAGGTATAAAAACACGTTCTTACTACACGGTAGTAATAATAAACCCGGTAAATAAAGCAAACAGGGTTAAGATTGAGGAAGATTCAAACGGAGTTTTAACTGCGAACTATAAAAAAATTAAGCGCTATGTTTTTATTTGCGCCATTAACAATTGACCAGGCAAAACATGACCTTAAGCCCCGTCCAAACGGGAAATGTTTAGCAATCAAACACGATCAAACATTGCTTAGTGACCAAACGTTTTCCGTTTGGACACCTTGTTTGATCGTGTTTGATAAAATCTGAACAACGTCAAACATTTGATCAAACATTGTAAACATTTTGTTCGTTCAAACATGTTTGATACCGTTTGGCCACACAGTACAACACCAGCATGTTAGGTTACCAAACAATGTTTGATCGTGTTTGGTCGCCAAACATTTCCTGTTTGGACAGGGTTTTATTCTCTGCCTTTGGCCGGTTAAATGTTCTGATGGGACTCTTCAACCAAATCAGCCAAACCTCAGGGTTACCCTTAAAACTGATGACCTTAATTATAGTCTGCGTTTCTTTTAGATGCCGCTCTTATTCCACTAATAGAAGACTTGTTTAAAGAACTTGCAATGATAGAGGCTTGCAACAAGGTAAGGAAGGAAAAGTGTGAAACGTGGCATTATTCTCACTGCGAAAAAGTATACGGAACTCGCCCGCGCACAAACCTATCAGGCACCTATCGCCTCAATGGGTGCTACCTGATTACCCTTACGTCCCCAAGGGGCCTTCCTTGCCTATATATATAGGCGCATTTGTTCAGATTTCCTATCTTTTTCGCCAAGTCACGCGCGCGGTCGTAAGTTGCATTTAGTTTTTTTACCCACTTACCTCCCCTCCAGTGACGTGTACTTATTTCGCGCGTCTCTGTTGTGTGATTTTCTGTTTAGGCTAAATCTTGCCTCCCATATGATATATGACAGCTTTGCCTGGGCACTAAGGTCTTATTTTCGTGTTGATAATCATTTTCCAACGAAATCACAAGTTTTGTTGAAAAGCGCGGGAAAAGTGGCCCGGCAAAATCATGATTTCGCCCGATTGGTCAAAATGTCATCGTCTTTACTGTGATTGGCTGCGGCAGGTAAAGCACGTGGCAAGTTGCTCTCCACAACTCACAAAAGTTGCTTCTGCTATTTAATGATCTGTGTTGATTTAACTTTCTCTTTTTAGCTTTTACAGCAGAGGTTTCTGCCGACATTAATTAGTATATTCCAGGCTCCGCCAGAGAAGACTCCGTTAGGAATTAATGCTGTAAGTAAAACAGATCATATCATTTGAAGTCAGTAGCGAACAACTTAAAGTTCTAAAGATGTCAACACCATACTGCTTTTACTCATTATCAGGAGCCATAATCGGGGACGGAGACCGTAAGTCTCGGGATTCGCGCGCACCTATGATATGGGACAATTTTTCTATTTTTAGAACAAATTGC